GCCTTGGGCCTGCACAGGGAATAAAGGTAGGTGGGGAAAACTAAGCTGAATGCTGAGAGAAAGAAGGAATTAAGGAGAAGCCATGGAACTGCTGCCAGAGACAGACCTGCTAAAACGTTGCTGATATGCCACGACTTCATGGTGATGCACAGATTAATGGAGATGTGTTAAGTTAAAATGTAAGAGTTAGCCAATAAGAAGCTAGAGCTAATGTGCCAAGAAGTGAATTAAATAATGTATTTTCTGTTATGTTATGTTAAATATTTTGATCAATTTCAAGGTAATTTAGAGAGGATTGAGAGAAATCTAATTTTATTTTATTTCATATCATATCCTGTTTGCTGAGCACCATTTATTGAACAGGTTGTCATTTTTCCAAAATACATTTTTTGTCATTACTCTCAAGAGTTAATTGACCTTGACTCAGCATGTTTATTTCTGCCTTTTGGTTCTGTTTGCCATTGTATCTCATTTTAGTCATGATGCCATGCTGTGTTTGTCCCTAGGACTTCCTAGAATGATCTGAGGTTGGGTATTTTAATAGCTCCAATATTTTCATTTATGCCTAGGATTACTTAGGCAATTCAAAGTCTTAATAGTGGAATGCAAACCAATATTAGTTAAAAATATGTAGACAGATATAGCACATTAATAAAGGCAACACTTTGTCAAGGTGTTAAAAAACAAGTGTTATACTTATTCATTAAATGCAGTGGATCATAGTTTCATTAAAAGCACTAGGGAGAAATATAGATCAAGTAGAGTCTGATGTATATAATTTCAGGAGAATTTTATACCTGACTCTCCCCTTTAGATGTGTCTTCCAAAACAAAACAAAACATGACAGTGGGAATGAGTGTAGAAAGATTTCAGCATAGATGTAAACAAACGGTGAAGGAGTTGAAGGGTGAGGAATAAGGTAAACAAATACCAAACTAAGGAAGTTTGTAAGGGTCATATGGAAGCCTACTATTTTTAAGACAATTCAATATTCTATTTAAAAGAGAGTTTGACTCTCAACCAGAGGACGTTCATGGAACTGACCTGGGCTTTCAGAACTTGTGGGGAAGCTGTGTTTCTTGGTCTTCTTGTAAGAATCACAGCAGAGGGAAAAGGGCTCTCTCTGACTCTGTTGCCTGCTCCTATGATCCTTTTCTCCTGCTGGGTTGACTCGCTCAGCTTTAATAGGAGAGTGGGTGCTTAATCTTGCTGCATCTTGGTATGTCATGGCTGGGTGATATATATGCAATGCATGAACTTTTCTGAAGAACAAGGACAGGAACTTGATGGGGGAGAGGTTAAAGTGGAACTGGGAGAAGAGGAGGGAGGAAATGTAATTGGGCTGAGAAATTTTTAATTAACTAATAATAACAATTAAGGGAGTTTGAATGGAAGTATCTTGCATGTGTGGACAATTGTTCTTCCATAAGTCATGGATTGCTAAATAAAAATTCCAGTGAAAGGTAAACAAAACAATAATCTGTTACTGATGATGGTTGTCCATCATCACTACATAGTAAGACCTTAATGTTGAGAAATCACACACTTTGTACGATACAGTTTGTACTGAACTGAGAATGTCCTCTATGCTAGCTCCTTCCATACTAAATCTTGAGAATAGTATTTTTTTGCAGTGTTATCAATAGATGTGGACTCATAACTGAGAATGAGAAACATTGAAGGCTTCTGGGACAACTTACCCTCTCCCCCCCCCAAAACAACAGTCTAGTGAAGAAGCTATTGAAAAGAGTCCTGAAAAGCTGAGAAAGATGCTGAAGGGTTATTCTTTACAGTTGATGGCTTTTGGCAGGATGGGGTGGGGAAGGTCTGTTTTCTTTAAGGGGCTGGTCAATGTGAGCTTGACTATTCTCCAGTGAATATACGGGCAATGCAATTTGGAATTGGTCAGTTTTATTTTTTATTTATTTATCTATTTTTGTGGGGAATGGCAGAACAAAGTTGAGAGAGTGGACCTGGGAGAAATGGAAAGCAAATGTAATACGATTGCATTGTACAAAATTCCAAAATAAATAACAAAAATGTTATCTTGGAGAAAAATAAAAAAAACAGTAGAAAATAATTCAGGTAAGCTTATTTTATGCTACAAATAACAAATTGCTTATATTCTACTAGATATGGCCCTCTTCTTTGAACAATTAGAACTTAAAAGCTCTCCCCAACTTTTATATTTTTGCAAAAAGAGTTTTTGTTTTGTTTCATTTTCACAATATCATTTCTTTGGTTCACATTTTGGTTTTCTAATATACACAGATAATGGAGGATGAGGTTAGACAATGTAAAGAGTAGAACGTAAAATGGTTTCTGCCTCCTTAGAACAATAGGTCAAGGGTTAGTATTTTAAAGTAGAAGACACAAAGAATAATTTAAATAAGACATAGGAACACAGAATGAAATACATTTTAGGTTATACTGCTGTACCAATATTCATACTTAATATTTATATTAAAAGAAAATAATTCCTATATCCTAAATTTATAGACTGTAGATGATGATTATTCTGGGCACATTTTAAATTGAGTTTTCTTTTTTCATGAATCAGTTAAATTCTGCATTTTCTTGTGATACATAAATTCATGTAAATGAGTATGATAAAATATTTTAAAACTATGTAATATGAGATTTGAGACATTATTCAGGGGTTAAGAACATGTATTGATCTTACAGATTATTTGGGCTTGGTTTGCACCCTTGTGAGCAGCTCACACCTGCTTGTGACTCCAGATTCAGGTGATTCTGATACTTCTGGCCTCTAAGGTCCTTGTACTTATATAAGCAGAGAAAGCTCCATCATCCTGGCTGCCCTGACCTGAACAATCACATAGAAACTATATTAATTACAACAATGCTTGGCCAACAGCTCAGGTATATTTTTAGCTTGCTTTTATATCATTTATTTATTTATTTATTTAAATTTCTGTCTCTTCCCCGCCACCGCCTCCCCTTTCCCTCCCCCTCCCCCAATCAAGTCCCCCTCCCTCATCAGACCAAAGAGCAATCAGGGTTCCCTGCCCTGTGGGAAGTCCAAGGACCACCCACCTCCATCCAGGTCTAGTAAGGTGAGCATCCAAAAAACTGCCTAGGCTCCCACGAAACCAATAGGTACAGTAGGATCAAAAACCCATTGCCATTGTTCTTGAGGTCTCAGTAGTCCTCATTGTCCACTATGTTCAGCGAGACCGGTTTTAACCCAGGCTTTTTCAGACCCAGGCCAGCTGGCCTTGGTGAGTTCCCGATAGAACATCCCCATTGTCTCAGTGTATGGGTGCACCCCTCGCGGTCCTGAGTTCCTTGCTTGTGCTCTCTCTCCTTCTGCTCCTGATTTGGACCTTGAGATTTCAGTCCGGTGCTCCAATGTGGGTCTCTGTCTCTGTCTCCTTTCATCGCCTGATGAAGGTTAATATTCAGGAGGATGCCTATATGTTTTTCTTTGGGTTCTCCTTCTTATTTAGCTTCTCTAAGAACCCGAATTATAGGCTCAATGTCCTTTATTTATGGCTAGAAACCAAATATGAGTGAGTACATCCCATGTTCCTCTTTTTGGGTCTGGCTTACCTCACTCAGGATAGTGTTTTCTATTTCCATCCATTTGCCTGCAAACTTCAAGAAGTCCTTGTTTTTTACTGCTGAGTAGTACTCTAATATGTATATATTCCATACTTTCTTCATCCATTCTTCAATTGAAGGGCATCTAGGTTGTTTCCAGGTTCTGGCTATTACAAACAATGCTGCTATGAACATAGTAGAGCATATACTTTTGTTGTATGATAAGGCCTCTCTTGGGTATATTCCCAAGAGTGGTATTGCTGGGTCCATGGGTAGGTTGATCCCGAATTTCCTGAGAAACCTCCACACTGCTTTCCAGAGTGGTTGCACAAGTTTGCATTCCCACCAGCAATGGATGAGTGTACCCCTTTCTCCACAACCTCTCCAGCAAAGGCTATCATTGGTGTTTTTGATTTTAGCCATTCTGACAGGTGTAAGATGGTATCTTAAAGTTGTCTTGATTTGCATTTCCCTGATCGCTAAGGAAGTTGAGCATGACCTTAGGTGTCTTTTGGCCATTTGAACTTCTTCTGTTGAGAGATCTCTGTTCAGCTCAGTGCCCCATTTTATAATTGGGTTGATTAGCCTTTTACGGTCTAGTTTCTTGAGTTCTTTATATATTTTGGAGATCAGACCTTTGTCAGTTGCGGGGTTGGTGAAGATCTTCTCCCAGTCAGTGGGTTGCCTTTCTGTCTTAGCAACAGTGTCCTTTGCTTTACAGAAGCTTCTCAGTCTCAGGAGGTCCCATTTATTCAATGAGGCCCTTACTGTCTGTGCTGCTGGGGTTATACGTAGGAAGTGGTCTCCTGTGCCCACGTGTTGTAGAGTACTTCCCACTTTCTCTTCAATCAGGTTCAGTGTGTTTGGACTGATATTGAGGTCTTTCACCCACTTGGACTTGAGTTTTGTGCATGGTGATAGATATGGATCTATTTTCATTCTTCTACAGATTGACATCCAGTTTTGCCAGCACAATTTGTTGAAGATGCTCTCTTTTTTCCATTGTATACTTTTAGCTCCTTTATCGAAAATCAGGTATTCCTAGGTTTGTGAGTTAAAGTCAGGGTCTTCTATTCGATTCCATTGGTTGACTTCTCTGTTTTTATGCCAATACCAAGCTGTTTTCAATAGTGTAGCTCTGTAATGGAGTTTGAAGTCAGGGATGGTAATGCCTCCAGAAGATCCTTTATTGTATAGGATTGTTTTGGCTATCCTGGGTTTTTTGTTTTTTTATATATAGTTGGTTATTGTCTTCTCCAGATCTGTGAAGAATTTTGATGGGACTTTGATGGGAATTGCACTGAATCTATAGATTGCTTTTGGTAGAATTGCCATCCTCCCAATCCAAGAGCAAGGGAGATCCTTCCATTATCTGGTGTCCTCTTCAATTTCTTTCTTCAAAGACTTAAAGTTCTCGTCAAGGCTGCAAACTCCTGGATCCTCCTTCCTCTCCTCCATCGCCTTCCTCCACCTCTACCAGAGCCACCATGTCATCCGTTCGGCCCGCCACTGTGCTGGGTTGCATGGCGATGGGTGGTCGCATGGATCAGACCTCCAGCGCAGCGTCGGTGCAAGCTTTCCTGAAGCGCGGCCACACCGAGTTCGACACAGCCTTTGTGTATACGGAAGGCCGGTCTGAGACAATCCTGGGCAGCCTGGGGCTCGGGCTGGGTCGCAGTGGCTGCAAAGTGAAAATAGCCACCAAGGCTATTGGAACGCTTGGGAAGACTTTGAAGTCTGATGATGTCCGGTTCCAGCTGGAGACGTCACTGAAGCGGCTGCAGTGTCCCCGGGTGGACATCTTCTACTTACACTACCCAGACCAGAACACCCCTATAGAGGACACGCTGCAGGTCTGCCACCAGCTGCATCAGGAGGGCAAGTTTGTGGAGCTTGGCCTGTCCAACTATGCCTCCTGGGAAGTGGCTGAGATCTGTACCCTCTGCAAGAAAAATGGCTGGATCGTGCCAACTGTATATCAGGGTATGTACAATGCCACCACCCGGCTGGTGGAGAAGGAGCTCTTCCCCTGTCTCAGACACTTTGGATTGAGATTCTATGCCTTCAGTCCTTTGGCTGGTGGCCTGCTGACTGGCAGGTATAAATACCAGGACAAGGATGAAAAGCAGCCTGATAGCCGCTTCTTTGGGGGTCCAGTTTCTAAGCTTTACATAAACCGGTACTAGAAGGACGAATACTTCAAGGGCATCGCTCTGGTAGAGAAGGCTCTGAAATCCAGCTATGGCACCAGCACCCCCAGTATGACCTCGGCCGCCCTGCGGTGGATGTACCATCACTCACAGCTCAAGGGCGCCCATGGGGATGCGGTCATTCTGGGCATGTCCAGTCTGGAGCAATTGGAGCAGAACTTGGCCTGCGTTGAAGAAGGGCCCCTGGAGCCGGCTGTCGTGGAGGCCTTTGACCAAGCCTGGGACCTGGTTGCTCATGATTGTTCCAACTACTTCCACTGGCTCTGACATGGGGAGGTGTAGAGGTCACTGCCTGTCAGGCTGTGTTCCAGCCTGGCTAGTCTGGGCTGTGAGCTGAGTCAGCTGCTCTTTCCCTCCTCATCCAGATCTCCTCCTGTTGACTAAAACCTGCCATGGCTGTAGCTCAGGCTGCAGCAGACCTGGTGGCCTTATTCTTTGAAAAAAAAAAAAGTTCTCGTCAAATACATCTTTCACTTCCTTGGTCAGAGTTACCCCAAGATATTTTATGCTATTTGTGGCTATCGTGAAAGGTGATGCTTCTCTGATTTCCCTCTCTGCTTCCTTATCCTTAGTGTATAGGAAGGCAACTGATTTTTTTGGAGTTGATCTTTTATCCTACCACATTACTAAAGGTGTTTATCAGCTGAAGGAGTTATTTGGTAGAGTTTTTGGAGTCGCTTATGTATACTATCATATCATCTGCAAATAACAAAAGCTTAACTTCTTCTTTTCCAATACAAATCCCCTTGATCCCCTTATGTTGTCTTATTGCTATTGCTAGAACTTCAAACACTATATTGAAGAGGTATGGAGAGAGTGGACAGCCTTGTTGTGTTCCTGATTTTAGTGGGATGGCTTTGAGTTTTTCTCCGTTTAATTTAATGTTAGCTGTCGGCTTGCTGTAAATAACTTTTATTATATATAGGTATGACCCTTGTATCCCTAATCTCTCCAAGACCTTTATCATAAAGGGGTGTTGAATTTTGTCAAATGCTTTTTCAGCATCTAATGAAATGATCATATGGTTTTTTTCTTTCAGTTTATTTATATGGTGGATTACATGGATAGATTTTCGTATGTTGAACCAGCCCTGCATCTCTGGGATGAAGCCTACTTGATCATAAAGGATAATTTTTCTAATGTGTTCTTAGATTCGGTTTTCCAGTATTTTATTGAGAATTCTTGCGTCGATATTTATGAGTGAGATAGACCTGTAATTCTCTTTTTTGGTTGGGTTTTTGTGTAGTTTTGGTATCAGGGTAACTGTAGCTTCATAAAAGGAACTAGGCAATGACTCTTCTGTTTCTATATTGTGAAATACATTAAGGAGTATAGGTATTAGCTCTTCTTGGAAGTTCTGGTAGAATTCTGCATTGAAACCATCTGGTCCTGGGCTTTTTTTTTTTTTTTTGGAAGGGAGATTTTTGATAACAGTTTCTAGTTCTTCGCGACTAACAGGTCTATTTAGATCGTTCACCTGGTCTTGGTTTAGCTATGGCATATGGTACTTATCTAAAAAAATGTCCATTTCTTTTGCATTTTCCAGTTTTGTGGCATACAGGCTTTTGTAGTAAGATCTAATGATTCTCTGAATTTCCTCTGTGTCTGTGGTTATGTCCC